TCAATCATATTTGATGGAGAAACTCTGGAGCAGGTTGAAGCCATTCATGTATCTGGATAGCATCATCGATGAATGTGAAGGATCTGATGCAGATGTAAAGGCAAGGATCGGTAAAGCAAGGGAAGCACTTATATTACTGAAGAACGTATGGAACTCGAAACAACTGTCTTCAAGCCAATATCAAAGTCATAATCTTCAATACGAACGTCAACACAGTTGGTTATGTTTTAGGGAGCCAAAACGTGGAGAACTACTACAACCATCATCAACAATGTACAAGTAATTATAAACAATTGTCTACACAAGGTAGTGAATGTCCGTTGGTCGGATACCATCAGCAACAGCTTACTTTGGAAGTGAACAAACCAACTTTCTGCTGAAGAGAAAATTAGGAAAAGATTTTGGAAGTATATAGGTCACACATTGAGGAAATTATCAAGCTGCATCACGAGGCAAGCGTTAACTTAGAATCCTGCATGAAAATGGAAAAGAGAAAGGCGAAAGAACACAGTGTATCGTAAATTGGAATCAGACAAGAAAAGGATGAATAGCAACTGGAAACAAGTGGAAAGGATTGTCGAGGACAGAGTTTGATGAGGAAAAAATATCAATATGTTGTACTTGTCTTCCAAATCTCAGTCCTTCACTTACATTGATTAATAATATCGGACCTTATTAACAGTGGTTTGTAATGGGATACAAGACACATAGTTGACACTCGTCAGCTGAATATACCTGTCACATATCAGTGTTAGAGTTTGCATTATTACTCAAACCAAGTATCTAACGCTTCAAACACCGATGAATTATCTTTAATATCGACAATAGTGTTATATAAGTTCTTACGAATATCATCATATTTCCATCAATGTAAAGTTTTATTGAGGCAGTCAGTAGCAGAAAATAGTTGCAGTAATGAAAACATGTTAAGTTAGGATTCCCACGAGGTTCATATTTTGTTTGTATCCATGAGAATGAAGTAAATAATGCTTTATTCACAAACCTCTTTTTAAACAGATAAATCGATAATCGTATGTGTTCAGTAGTGTATAAGCTCGATGTAAATTCGTGAAGTGCTTATTAATAGTTGGGACTTCTTGGGTTCAACCAATTATGGAATGAGATTGAATATTCGTCATTGTCTATCACGAATGTCGATCTGCACTTACCAATCGATGGGCTGCAAAGCATCTACGGTCAAGAGAGCTCTTGGTTCCAGTCGTTTCTAGGGTCGTGGATTTGTAAGCTGTTGAGATATACCTAACTAAAAAAGCAGCTTTCCAGTGTCCTCTGCTCTTCTAGCTGGAGTCAGTCGTTAATTACAAATTGAATAACGTACACAGAACCCCAGATAATACTGACCGGTTCAATAATAACAATAATGAAGAAACAAATATAGAAAAAATTCCTTTACCGTCATTATTTATAGAGAATTTTATTTTATTTATTTGAACACAAAAATATTGGTACAAAGGGGCACCGAATACAAATGCATCACACAAATCACTTTATATATATGTGGGCTATAATACTGCACGGTTGTTCAAACCGAAGCAAGTGGTTTGCTTAGGGGGCCACACCCGGAGCCTTCGACTTAAAGGTCTGATTCACAAGACAATGGAGCATCGTAAGGAGATGCAGTTCCATGGTAGCCGGTGACCAACGATTGGTCCATTCGCCATTTGTTCCCTCAGGCAGGATACTGGAGCCAGCCCATGTGCACCATTGGTTTGGGATCCGGTTAAAGCACCGGACATTCGCTTTTCTTCCTCTCAATTTCGTAAACAACACCCCGTTGATGGGAAGGCAGTTAGTAGGACTTCCCTGGCAGAGGCTGAATATGAATGGTCATGTGAGAGCATTTCGAGAGGGTGAGCGGACTCTACCCATCCTCGGTCTTAACATAGCATTTGGGGGCAAGAATATATGAAACGCTTCATGATTTTGCTTGTTATCTTTGCGCAGGAGCCATGCTAATCTTCTCTCTATCATTCCAATTTTAGTAAATGTACCGCCGAATCGAGAAAAAATATGTTGAATACGATGGGGAGACAAAAACGTGAACCACATAAAACAAAATGGAGAAATCGTAAAGAACTAAAGAGAATCAAATTTTATAAATGTCTATGAAACAATATCATTTGTATAAGAACAATACTATGGATGATTTGTTTAGTAGACACATCTTGTAGAACTGTAATACGAAACTAGTGCAAGACAATCACCAACTTCTATTTAGAGCCATATTTCAAGAAAATCAACTGTAAAATCCTCACAACTGTAATCGGAGTTGTGATGAGATGAATGTGAATAGTTTATGACTATTTTACATTCTATAACATAATGTTAGTGTATCCAAATTTTCTGGTATGAATAAAAGTGACAAGAATGTGCTCTCCTACTCGAAATCTCTTCATATAGCTGTGGATTTATATAAACTTCCATAGTTAACCTACTCATTAAGTTCACGAGGTGGTAAAATTGTCTTGAAAAGTAGGAAGGTGAAAGCGGAGATCCGAAGCTCAAATCAGATAGATGGAAACTTTATTTATAGTACACGGAAACGCCTAATTTCAAACCAATGGTGATTCAGGATAATAAAGGAGTTAACTATATACAGACTTACGCTGGTCATCAGCTATCATGATAAAACAACGACCAGCATTGATCAACCACTTCATTTTAAGAACTAGATGGGCATAATGACTTATGCGAACGGAAGAAAATAGTTTTTTGCCTTAATATTAATGGTTTTTGTTATGAGTTTTCGATAATTATAACCCCTGAGAGAAATCCAAGAAAGTACTCAGTACATCTTTCCAGTTACTAAAATATCCTAACAACTTAAGAATCTCATTTCTCAAGATCACCTACTTTAAATATCTTTGTTTCCTGTACATATATAACAATCTTCGAAGTAAAGCGGTCTCCTCATAATCTTCCATCTTTCTTCTGTTCACTGTTTAAGAGTCACAGTTTTTGAAATAAGATGAAGTTACTGTTTACAGCATTCATATAACACACACATTATCATCTTTATTATACATTGAAACAAGAACTTCTTACACTCAATTATATTATATATTGTGAAAATCTTACAAGATATACACTATTTGATGAATAATTTAGTAGAGAATAAGATGGTGATTGGAGGTAGTAAACAAGAAACACTGGACATAGATTTCGTACTTCTTGGCACTCGTTAACAAGGTGTACCTATAATCTTGAGGGGATTGATGCTCCCTAAAGAATTCGATCCCGTGTATTTCCAATTGATTGATCACTTGATGGTGATCATCGTCATCTCAGTCCTACAGGAGGTCATGCGCGGACCGCACAACCCAGTGGTAACGTCTCTGGGCAGTTCGTTCCGTTCTACTATACGGCTGCGAAACATGGCCATTAAGAGTAGAAAATACTCGTAAGATACTAGTATTAACCACAGATGCCCTAGAAATATTGCTCTCATCTGCTGGGATCACCGGGTAAGTAATAGTTAGGTTAGACTCATGGTATTAGGAGATAATGGTAAATCAGTTGAGGTTGTGAATCTTCATCGACTGAGATGGTTGGGCCACGTGCTGCGTGTGCCTGAACACCGATTACCACGACGCGCAATGCTAACCAGTGTTAGGGATATTTGGAAGAAAGTTAGGTGCGGCCAAATCAAAACATGACATCAGTGCTTGAAGTCACTAACTTCTGGTCTGAGTCATGTTGGTAGATGCAGACTACTTGGTTGGGGTCCGCGTGACTATCGTAACCAATGGTTGGAGACTCTTGGTGACATGGCTCAGAATCGATCACAATGGCGTAGGTGTATACACTCTTTGTCTTCCTTTAAACAAAGAGATTAAAATCGCTTCATATCTTTGTTTCTACGAACTAATTCTCTTTTTCTGTACTATCTCCTTATATGCAATCTTTCTTTTATATATTACCATCATTAAATTAACTACTTCTATGAATCCGGTGTTCAGCTTGTTATGCTAATGAGCGAGGTGTGGCAACTTGGACCGATGCATATATGTGCCTGGTCCTACGTTGCAGCTGACTGACTGAACGTCTCTGGGTGACATGTTGCATCAGTTCTATCAAGATTACACGTATGCCTTGTTGACGGGTGCCAAGTAGCACAAAACTTAGGTCCAAAGTTTCCTGTCGACTACCTCAACATAGTGCACACTAATATCGTGTCATTTAAACTAATGACCATATGACAACTTAGTTTATACCATTCAATCTACACTAAGAACAACCTAATATACATTAATATTGATCACCACCGGGAGATAAATCAAATAACAATATCGACAAATTTTCCAATGAACAGTATAAAAGGAAGGCAATGACAAATATAATTGTTTAGTCAATTCCTTTAAAAAATCAACAACAACAACAGCAACAAAATTACGTAATATACAATTGGGCAAACTGCTTACTTAATGTATACCCACCTCATACAATTCATCCATTCAAGAAGAGAGGAAAACAATTGATGTGAAAACAAGATGAACAGTATTCTGAAGACAAAATTATCCTGAAGTTTGGATAAACAAGTATATAACTAACTGATATACTGTATATATATATATATATATATATATATATATATATATATATATATATATATATATATATATATATATATATATATATATATATATATATATATATATATATATGGCGGCTACTATAATCAGTATGGAAACAACATTATATCCAAATAATAAATGATGTGCACAAAATTATTTGTATATATGAACCGAAGAAAGAGAGAGAGAGAGAGTAGCAATAATGATATAAAGTATATTGTATAATTAGTCAATCAATAGGATATAAGATAATTAACCAAAGGAGAACTGAGATATGAAGGAATGATGATAGTGTTGGTATTTAAATGTTAGGAATGTTTAAAGTGATAGATAGAATACTTAACATAATTGATGGTTTATATACATGTGTAGAAAGAGAGGGAGAGAGAGGGGGAGGGGGAGGGGGGAGGCATGAAGATGTATAAAAATCATTTGTATATGAACTTATAACATGTATGTTTTATTTGATGTATTCATATTTTGAAAAGAAGTAAACAGTATTAGAACTCATTCAAAACACATCACATTATCAGTCAATAAGTCAGTCAGTAATAACGTAGAACTTTGTACGTACGTACGTACGAATATCCGTTTGAGTTGCCATATCACAATAGCACGTCGATACAATTGTCAATTCAAATCCTATAGTGATAGAGGTAGTAAAACTATAAGCAGTTATCGAAAACATTAAAAGTTTGATGATGTTATTCAACAAGTATAATCCAGTGGAAAGAAAGAGATATAAAGAATTCAGAAGATTAAAATTTCAGTAAACATATAGACTGGATACACACCTGAGACATTACAAATAATTTTGATTTATATTACATTCATGCATCTTTAATCATTGGTTGCTATCATTTCACATGTCCTAAACATCATTTATCAACTATTCATTTTCCAGATTAGAAAAACAAAAAAAAATCAATAAATGATGAAGATAAACAATCTAGATATGATTCTAGACAAAAAGATCTTGAATGTGGAATTGTTAATAAATGATGAATTAATGGTGAGTTGAATGAGATAGGGTCTTGAAAGAATATGAATCTGTTTTCCTTTTTTTATTGTTATTTTTACATAAGAATCACAGTATTATATAATTGAGCAAGATACTGTACAATATTACATAATACTACATTTAGCATTTGTTGAAGTATTTGTACTTGTTACTACAGTAGTAGTAGTAGTAGGAGTAGGAGTAATAGGAATAGTATTAGATATATCTGAATGCAGTGTTGTTGCACAATTTAAACCACGACGTTGTAAAGGTGAAGTGATACGTGATCCAGTTTGTATTGAAGGAAGATGTGATGTTGTAGTATGTCCTGATTTATTATGTGGAAATGATCCAGTTTGACAATTATACATTAAACGTGAATGAATCATTTTTGTATTTGTATGCAAATCTGAATGACATTGAAGTGAACCACTGAAGGGTGCATATTTTGTAGGATTTCTATTAGATGATTTTGTGGTTGAATAAATATTATTAGTGTTGATATTAGTCACTATATCATTGTTTTTAGATTCATATTTACAAAGTGGTAAATATTTTGAAGCACTGGTTGGTTGTATTTGTTTTGCTCCTGGAACATTGTCTTCTTCTTCTGCAGCTATTTCATCATCGTCATCATCGTCGTCTTCCTGTTCATCCGCTTCTTTTTCTTTTTTTATAACATTATTATTATTTGTAGTACCATTGGACGTGATTATCTGATTTGATTTTCCTGAAATTTTTTGCAGTTGTTGTGTATCGTTTGAATAGCATTGTTGTTGATAATGATGATTAGGTAAATGAGCAGTACGTTTATCGTTAGCAATTCCTTGAGTTGATACATGATTAGACGATTGATGTATCACAGGCTTTTGCCGATAGTCTGCACTAAAATCATGGAAATCATTCAGTTCCGGTTGAATCTGTAATGGAATATTATGTACGACAATATCTTCAGGAATTCGATTAGGTGCAGTCAAATGACCGAAACCAATACGTCTTAAACGTCCAGCAGACATAGCGCCACGTAACCTATACAAGAATAAAAGTACAACTAAGTTTAAAATGGATTAAATCAAAAGATATATAAAACTGCACGTTGCAACGTGAAATATTGTTGTAGATCAATGGTTGATTAACTTAGATCGGTCCGAGCCTCCAAATGCCCTGGTATGGCCGCGAGTGGGATGGGCCCACCCTCCCTCTTGAAATACTCTCACACGACCACGCGTATACAGCCTCTGCCAGGGAAGTCCTACTCACTGCCTTCTCGTGGCACAGGTGTTGTTTACAAAAATGAGAGGACGAAAAGCGAATGTCCACAGCTTTAACCGGGTCCAAAACCAATGGTGCACATGGGCTGGCTCCAGTATCCTGAAGAAAAAATGGTGTATGAACCAATCGTTGGTCACGGCTACCATGGGATTGCATTTCCTTACGATGCTCCACTGCCTTATGCATCAGATCTTTAGGTCGAAGGCTCGGGGTGTGGCCCCCTAAGAAAACCACCTGCTTCGGTTCCGGCACCCGGGCAGTATCACAGCCCTCACACTTATCAAATGAGGCGCATATATATTTGGTGCCCCCTTGTACCAATATTTATGTGTGCAAATAAATAATAAATAAATAATAAGATCGGTCCGTGATGTGAATAAAAGTGAACGATCTCTACTAAACTAAACTGATAAAAATAATGTGGTCGACAAGCTCAACTAAACTAAGAGTAGCGTCACTGATGCGAACATCTTTACAGGTTTTTTGGACAACTGTGACATATCTATATTCGAATGTCATACATTACTATCACTTTAAAAAAATTCCATTCTAGATTAATAAAGTAAATGCAGTGTGGAAACAGTACCTTAGTAGTAAAAGTATTCAACTTTTCAGCTTAAAAATCGTATGTTCGATATACTCTTCACCTACTTCAGTTTTGACAGAGGATAGTAGAATCACTATTGAAAAATTTTAGGAATATGGGAACATTTAGTGGATTCATCCAATCGTTCCATTAAATCTCCCATCCTATCCTTGGATAAGATCAAAGAGATTCAGGTCAACAACGACGAACTGATAATGTCCATCGATGTAACAGCATTATTCAACTTTACCTGTAGCTTTTCTAGGGCTACTGTCGGTTCCAAGCCCACGCAAAAGAGGAGAGTTAGGTGTATGGAGCGGGAACCCCATCACGTAAAAAAAAGCTTGCTAAAGAAACGCTAACCAGAATAAAAAATTTAAACCATTTAAACTCTGCCTTCCAAGTTCAAAAAACAACTATGACACTTCAACATGAAAGCCGAGATTCTTCGGAAGTCACGAGGCTCATGCCCCTTCTAACAACTAGAACAACAATTTTTTTTAGGTACGTGGAACGTCCAGACAATGTAGTAGACCGGGAGGACCAGTCAAATAGCAACGTAAATAAGAAGGTACAATTTGGAAGTGCTCAGAGTCAGTGAAACCCATTGGACACAATCTGAACAGCAAAGGCTAGATACGGGAAAGATTCTGATGTACTCGGATCACGAAGAGAAAAATGCTCAACACACTCAGAGAGTTGCTCTGATGTTGCCTAAAGAGGCACAAATGCACTTATATGATGGTAATCTCATAGATCCAGGATCATCAAAACAAGGGAGGGAATCACAATGAATTTCACCCACCAATCATAGCAATAGTGACGATAAAAATCAGTTCTGCAAGTGGCTGCAATCAGCCATACCGGAGTGCCCAGGAAAGGACCTGACAATCCTGATGGGAGATCTAAGTGCCCATGTCGGAATGGATAACAACGGTTATGAAGATATTATGGGACGACATGAACTGACTGGGAGAAAGGAAAGATAATGGTGAGAGATTTGCAAACCTATGTGCATTCAACAAATTGGTTATAGGCTGAACACTATTTCCACACAAACGCATACAGAAAGCTAAATAGATCTCACTGGATCATACCACGGAGAACCAGATATATCATATTTGCATCAGTAAAAAATCACAAAGTCAACAGAAGGCGAGAAAACTATGAGAGGAGCTAACATAGCTGTGACCTAGATGAAACTGAAGCTAAAGAAGCATCGGACAACCGGACAAACAGCATTACAAAAATTTAATACGGCCTTGCTTTAACATACTGACAAACTCAACCAATTCAAGATAACTCTCAAAAACAAGTTCCAAGCCTTGCAGGATCTGCAGAAAGAAAAAACTGTTGTGGAGGACAACTGAAAAGAGATCGAAGAAGCATTAACTCTAACGTGTCAGGAGGTTCTGGGCTGTAATAAGCATCATCATAAGGAATGGATCTCTATCGAAACCCTGGACAGGATTCAAGAAAGAAAGAACAAAAGACAGTAATTAATAGTCAAACAAGAACAGAGAAAGTCAAGGCAAAAACTGAATACACTGAAGCGAACAAGCAAGTGAAGAAGAGCGTTAGAGCCGACAAGCAGATATACGTGAGATACCTAGCAACGACAGTGAAAAAAGCTTCAAGAGGAGGAAATATGAAACAACTATATGACACGACGAAGGTAGTAGGAAAATCTAGTAAACGAGAGAAATCGGTCAAGGACAAAGGAGGCAAGCCAATAACTCAAGAACAGAGGAGCGCATGGGTGGAGCACTTCGAGGAACTCTTGAATAAACCAGCTACATTGAAACCACCAGACCTTTCTTTAGATGTCACTCCACTAACGATCGAAGATGTCCATCAGACAAGTCAAGAGTTGGAAAGCGGCTGGACATGACGATATACCAGCCGAAACACTAGTCATATATAGAAGTAACTGCAAGTATTCTTCACGTTCTATTCGGGAAGATTTGGGGGGGGGGGAACAAGTGCCCATGGACTGGAAAGAAGGACGCCTTTTCAAGATACCGAAGAAGGACCTCAGTAAATGTGAGAACCAGAGAGGCATCACATTACTGTAAATACCAGGAGAGGGTTTCAATAGACTTGCTGAACAGGATGAAAGACTCAATGGACGCCCAGCTTCGAGATAAAGAAACCGGATTCCGTAAGCATCGGTCGTGCACAGAACAAATCGCGACACTATGGATCATCTTTGAAAAATCAAATGAATTTGATTCGTCACTATACATCAACTTCCTTGATTATGAGAAAGAATTTGACATTATGGAGACCATGATGGACACTTCCTCGACACTATGGTGTACCTAAGAAGATCGTCCTCATACAGAATTTATACGACGGAATATAGTGCAAAGCCGTGCATAGAGGACAGATGACAGATGCATTGCAAGTAAGGACCGAAGTCAGACATTTTATTTTATTTTATTTTAACACATAAGTATAGGTACAGGGAGGCACCAAGTACATATGCGCCACACAAATCTCAATTGATATGTGTGAGGGCTGTGATACTGCTCGGGTGCCCAAACCGAAGCAGGTGGTTTTCTCAGGGGGCCACACCCCGAGCCTTCGACCTGAACGTCTGACCCACAAGGCAGTGGAGCATCGTAAGGAGATGCAGTCCCATGGTAGCCGTTGACCAACGATTGGTTCATACGCCATTTGTTCCTTCAGGATACTGGAGCCAGCCCATGTGCACCATTGGTTTGGGATCCGGTTAAAGCTGTGGACATTCGCTTTTCGTCCTCTCATTTTTGTAAACAACACCTGTGCCACGAGAAGGCAGTGAGTAGGACTTCCCTGGCAGAGGCTATATACGCATGGCCATGTGAGAGCATTTCGAGAGGCAGAGCGGACTCTCCCCACTCTCAGCCGTACCAGGGCATTTGGGGGCAGACAAGGCTGCCTACTTTTCCCCTTTCTCTTTCTTCTGGTGGTTGACTGAAATATGAAGACCTCCACACCTGACGGGAAGCGTGGAATGAAATGGACAGTTTGGATGGAACTAGGCGATTAGGATTTTGCAGATTATCTGGTTTTTCTGTTCCATACACATCAATAAATGCAGATCAAGACAAACAATGTAGAAGCAGTCTCTCAGAATCTTCAATACGAACGTCAACACAGTTGGTTATGTTTTAGGGAGCCAAAACGTGGAGAACTACTACAACCATCATCAACAATGTACAAGTAATTATAAACAATTGTCTACACAATGTAGTGAATGTCCGTTGGTCGGATACCATCAGCAACAGCTTACTTTGGAAGTGAACAAACCAACTTTCTGCTGAAGAGGAAATTAGGAAAAGATTTTGGAATTATATAGGTCACACATTGAGGAAATTATCAAGCTGCATCACGAGGCAAGCGTTAACTTAGAATCCTGCATGAAAATGGAAAAGAGAAAGGCGAAAGAACACAGTGTATCGTAAATTGGAATCAGACAAGAAAAGGATGAATAGCAACTGGAAGCAAGTGGAAAGGATTGTCGAGGACAGAGTTTGATGAAGAACGCTTGTGAACGACCTATGCTTCTTGACGAGGGTTAAAAGGCGTAAGTAAGTAACAGCTTTATTCTCCTCAACTGAATCAAGCTTAGTAAAGGAAACTCTATCCTTGCTTCTCACGAACGACACAAATGTCCTAAAGTATAGGAAGCTTCGAAGATAAAGTTTACTAGAACCCATCGATTTATGCTTAACAACATACTTTCAATTCTGCAATAAAATCTACGAACAAACGAAAGGAACACCAGTGGGACTACCAACAACAGAACTTATTGTAAAAGCAGTGATGCAAAGACTGAAAGCCTCGATCAAGCCGAAAATGTGGATTCGTCATGTGGACGATATAATCGTTATCATTAAAACGGACCAGCTGGAAATCGTCTACAATTTGATTAACGTCTTTGATGACATAAAATTCAAAATGGAAAAGGAGTTGAACAACAAACTAACAGTTTTGGATATACTAATCACCGGAACCGACATAGGAAAACTGGGGACTTAAGTGCATCGGAAAACCATCCGCTTCGGTTTGAGCACCCGGGCAGTATCACAGCCCTCACACATCAAATGAAATCTGTGTGGCGTATATGTATTTGATGCTTCCTTGTACCAATATCTATGTTAATATAAATATAAATAAATAGTGCATCAGAAGACTACCCACACGGATTCAATTCTTAATTACAGTAGCAAGAACCTAAGAAATCACAAAATCAACTGCGTACAAACTTGTTCAAGGGGGCAAGAATACACTGCGGTACACTTGCAGCGCGGAAAAACATCTAATGACTATCCTTCGAAAGAATAGCTACCCATGAAACTTCATCAAAAAATATCAACCCAGTACATCAGCAGAAACGAACAAGACCAACGAAATGATTATCCTATCATATATAAAAGACATCAAAAGTTATAGAGATTATTGGGGCCGTTTGGAATAAATGTATCACACAAACAAGCAAAACCACTTCAATCAATCCGATGCAAACCAAAGGACGAAATGACAAAAGAATCAAAACCGAACATTATCTACATAACAATCCTCAAAAGCCCTGATACGGTGGAAGGTGGGGAGAGTGCTCTCTCCCTCTCGAAATACTCTCATATGGCCACGCGTATACAGCTACTGACAGGGGAGTCCTACTCATTTTCTCACAGCATTATTGTTTAGGAAAGTAAGCGAGTTAGTGGACACGGAGAATTAACCTAGGGGAGTTGGGAAACCCTGATTCCAAACGAATACTCCACATGGGTTCCAGGATCCTGACGGAACAAATGGCGTGTGAACCAATTATTAGTCACCGGCTACCATGAGACTGTGTCTCCTGACGCTGCTTCACTGCCTTGTGATCAGACCATTAGGTAAAAGGATCTGTGTGTGACCCCCCAAGAAAATCACCCTCTCCCGTTTGGGTACCTGGGTAGTATCACAGCCCGTGGCGCATATGTATTCGGTGCCCCTCTGTACCAATACTTTTGTGTTCAAATAAATAATAGATAAATAAACATCTATATAACAAACCGTTTCGATCGCGAAAAACACTACATCGGAAAAAGTGGACGTTCCCTTTACCTTCGCCTGAACAAACATCAATTAACGGTCAAACGCCATGACATATCCTCGCTTATATCAATGCATGTGGACACGCATTCGACTGGTAAAATGTTGAGATCTTGGATAAAGGAAATACTAAAAACATCAGAGGATTTTTAAAAGCTTGGCACTCAGGTTAATCAGCAATCAATAAACACATCAAAATCAACCCCGCCTATCAACCAGTTGGAAAAGTCATGGACAAATATAGGACCAAGAATCAAATCAAAGGGAGATACAATCAAAATAAAGAGGTAGACAACGCCAAGTTAAAGGTCAACAATAACCAATCAAGATCGAGGTCGACAGAACAAGCTATGAGTCATATGTGGAGAAATTCAAAAACTTTACTTCAACCTGAAGTTTGTACTAATAATTTTGTTTAGAATAGTGGAAGCTCTATGAACGAACCATCCAGCTCAGAGAACAAAACTCCATGCAAATAACTAGTCCTCATAAAAAACGATGCTGCTGAAGTCTGACTGAATAAACCTTTATTTTGTAAATGAGTTGTATTATGATTATGAATATTATTACGAGGTACAATAAAAAAGCGACCAGTAAACTGACAATAAAATTATGAGATTGGATTTACAAAAGTATAGAAATAAACAAGTAAGAGCAAGAATATCTATAGTATAGGGGTTGTGGAGATTATTAAGTTTTGGATTGAGATCATGAACTGATTGATGTTAGACCACGATTGGAAACCTGGAAGCACTGGATGGCCATTTTGTCCTATTGTGGGACTGGATTGGTTGATGTTAGACATCAACACCATTGGATGCCAGCTCAGTGGTCCAGTAGGTTAGGCGTTCGCGCGCGAGACTGAAGGCCCTGGGTTCGAACCCCGAGAACGGGATTGTGGATGCGCACTGCTGAGGATTACCACAATAAGACGGCACGGCCGTCCAGTGCTTTCAGGTTTCTATTGGTGGTCTAACATCAATCGGTTCATGATCAAAAATTAAAAAAGTCTACTTACCCATGTCTTCGATTACGACTTGGTAAGTTATCTGTCCAATTATCTCGTAAACTATCCTCACAGACACTCGGTGCCACATACGAAAAGCCCTGGTAGGACAAATAGAGATGAGTAGGTGGATGTGTGGATGTTTTGTGTGTATATGTATGTTTATTTATGTCAGATTACCATCACTAAAGAATTTAGAAATTAAGTAAAAATATTAATTACAATTATAAATCATTACGTGATGCATATACAGTAGTTTGATTTTTCAATGGATGGCATTATTTAAAGCCATTCGTTTTATAATGCCCATCTGTTATTTGAAGAATTGAATAGTTCACTCATACTATTGAGTAAATATGGTTAAGACTACGAAGATGTGGCCTTAACCATAGGGAATATCATTGAACTATGACAAGATACATAAACATACAATATGGGATGTTTGAAACAACAGTGAGTTTTGAGTTGTTGAAAATAATACATAGTTTATAGGTTCATTATGGTTCAGTTATCATTAAGTACCGTTTAGTTGTTTGATAAATGGCGAATGAACCGTATGATTCCTTACAAATGAGGAAACTAAGATAGAAGAAAAAAGCCCGACCGTTGTTGCTACCTTGATGTGGTGGTCGGGCTTGCCTATCGTGGTGAAGCAACTCAGCTATACTAGCTAGAACAACCGTTCCTCAAGGTCATACCATGCCAGACAGGTCGGTAAGACTAAAAGCAGCAAACCCAAGGTTTGAGGGCGAAGTTGTACTGCTGACTGTACAGAGGTGTGACAGCAGTAAGGTGTTTCCTACAGACAACCAGCATAATAGCGATGCTGACTTCCCACAAGGAGGGGTGGGGTTAGAAAAGGTCGACCCTAAAAATGCACACCTCGCTTTATCTCACGGATTTCGGTCTCCGGCGGTAAGCTCTCAACAAGTACGGAGCTGACACAAAAACCACTCATAAAGGTCGTGTGTGACCGGCCTCAAGCAGTTGTCCCTTGGGCACTGCAGTCACGCTCTCAGGTCACTAAGACCACCTCTAATCCAAATTCCTCTTCAGGTACCTCCAGTGGATTTTCACACAGTATATTAGACCTCGGATTCTAAAATACAGACATACCAGTATGGCATAGCTTTTTCCAATAATCTAAAAGTGATATTTTGTTACGGCCCACTCCTAGAATACTGCACGTATATTCTTAGTAGTGTGCATATAAATGATAAATTAAGATTGGAATCATTTGTACCACAAGATGGAAGACAACAAATTCGGCTTAGTTGAAACTAAAAAGTAGGTAAAGCTTTTACACACTCATGAATCAAAAGAAATCTATGAATAGGGTGGTTTAAGTCGATAAAATCAAACGATCAGATGTGGGTTTCTGAAATGTTAGAAAGAAAATTTTGACGGCTAACTTTAAGTAATGTCCTGTCTTAGCAAAAAAGTACATTCAGTGTTACAGTGTCACTTAAAGAATTGTTTTGAAAATCATATTCACAAACGTATTCATGACAACTTAATGTGAGTTTAACCACTAACTCTTAATGAAAAACTGACCTGGAACATATCCGGAGGAATGGATGCCCCACCATCGACAGGACTAACAACTGGTTGTAAACGGGTAAACGATGGGTCAAACATCGACACATCATTCTCAGCAGTTAGTTTAGGACGGAAAGGTGGTTTCAAACGTCGGTTATAGACATCAGACCAATTTATTTCCTAAAAATTAAATAATCTTACAATATACCAGTTTAAAACGTGTTTTTAACTGTAAATAGAACTTAGAAAGTTTGATTACACAATCGGTAACAAAACTTTATAACCATATGCAATTTCGTGCATTATGTTGTCAGCCTTATTTAAAATATGGAAACTGTGCTAACAATTGAGTTAGTTGAACCAAAGTAAATAATTTCAAGTTTAGAACTTCGACTTTAAGGGTATGCTATGGAATGATACCGAATATAAAAGTAGTGCATGCTTAAACCAAAAGCTGAGTACAAACGTGGTAGCTATCTTGTTTCATGTACTCTAGAACATCTGACCAAACTGCTGTATATCGTCTTTTTTTATTATTTGTCCCATGAGTGGCCAAAATATTCCCACACACTTGACTTTCGGAAAATAGTTTTCCATCTCGTTTCTTAATTTGATCTGTTCAAAATACATTTCTTTATAACTTAGTATTTCGACTTTTGTTTCATAACCATTGAAAAACATTGGAGGAACGGTGTTTGTCGTCTAATGATACAAAGTTATGCAGGATAATTTCGTAATGAAGTCAGGTTTTGTTATTAAAATGTACAATCAATCTGTGAGTTTATCTTTTACACTATGAGCTTGAAATTATTTTACGTGAAACTCCAGGAAAAGAAGTGTCACAACAACTGTCTCACAGTCTCTAATGTAGCTATCTATGGGGAAAACAAAGCCAGGTAAGTTTTATGGCTGTCACTGTTCTTAGATGAAGAATCATTAAACGACATAACAGTACGTGCGTTGGTAGCTTTTATAAATTTTCATTAATTAAGCATCCAATTACTATTCATTAACCGGAGATGGTAATTAATCAGATGAGCAATAGTTTAAGTAGTCAAAATAAATGAAACCTAACCATCGGGTTTCATGTTTGAATTTAATTTCACTCACTACAATCTGGGCAGTAGGGTAGTATTACTTGCGTACTATGGCTACAACACTACAACATAAACCTGTAGTATTATTTGTTAAATTATATCATCACTGTGAAATTGGAAAGTGACTTACATTTATTGGGAAACAATGAGATAATTGCCCCCAAATGCCCTGGTACGGCCAAGAGTGGGGAGAGTCAGTAATCCCTCTCGAAATGCTCTCACATGACCACTCATATTCAGCCTCTGCCAGGGAAGTCCTACTCACTGCCTTCTCGTGGCACAGGTGTTGTTTACAAAAATGAGCGGACGAAAAGCGAATGTCCACAGCTTTAACCGGATCCCAAATCAATGGTGGCTGGCTCCAGTATCCTGAAGGAACAAATGGCGTATGAACCAATCGTTGGTCAACGGCTACCATGGGACTGCATCTCCTTACGATGCTCCACTGCCTTGTGGGTCAGACGTTCAGGTCGAAGGCTCGGGGTGTGGCCCCCTGAGAAAACCACCTGCTTCGGTTTGGGCACCCGAGCAGTATCACAGCCCTCACACATATCAATTGAGATTTGTGTGGCGCATATGTATTTGGTCCGTCTTTGTACCAATACTTATGTGTTAAAATAAATAAAAATAAAATAATGAGATAATTAGGTTGATATATGCTAGATGACCTGGTTTCTTCAATGCAGACAAACTATATAAGGCATCAGTATAGAGTAAAACCCACCTTACAAATGAAGTACATACAATTGACTTTTTTTTAATTATCACAGTGAGTCATTTTTATATTCTAAGAAGTGCGGCAATTTGTCACTTTTGTTCTCAGGAGTATGTTAAGGAATTAAAAATAGAGCATGAAAGACAAAATTTACACATCAAGTTATCTATTAATAAAGAGCACTGTAAAGAAATGTAAGGTTGAGCTGACATAAAGAGATCTTGTGGCAGATTAAACTAGGTAACTGAAGTCGATGAACGTCCTTTTACAAGCTAACGTGCAGCGTAAATTCTAGTTTTAACTGTAAACAATTGTTCGAAAACTATCCGTAGTTACAAATTGAATGATTTTAGAATCAAATTATCACACATTTTAGAAAACTCACATGTCGTTTAAAAAATTTGTGTCGTTTAATTTCCTCCATATCTTCTTTGCTTCCTAGTCTTTCATTTGGGTCACGTTTTAACAAGCCACGTATGAGACTAATAACTTCTGATGAGAATGATGGTGGAAATTTTAAAGGAGCTGTGAGTATCTACAACAAATAATCAAACTAAATTCATGCTTACTTTGCGTGTGGTAGCTTCACGACTTTCCTCCTGGCTAAATGGTGGCTACATTATTAGTCACATTAAGTAAAGGAACTTACAGCGCCAGATAGCATATCGTAGATTAAAGTTCCAAGACTCCACCAATCTACTGCTTTTCCATGACCCTCACATCGGATTATTTCAGGAGCCCTGAACGATGAAGAAAGATTTGGACTTACATATACTCGATCGTTCCACAGAATGTATTGGTAGTGCACACACCCTCTTTTGAAAGCCCAAAGTCAGTAAGCTTTACGTGACCCTGGCGGTCCAATAACACATTTTCAGATTTTAAATCCCTATAGATTATACCCAACGAATGCAGATGTCCAATGGCCAGAACAATTTCAGAAGCGTAAAAACTATTTCCAAAATGTAGCTGAACGTATTTCTTACCACGCAGCATTTTCTAACAACGCTCCTTCACGTTCCAAATAGTTAAACAGTTCCCCTCCATGGCAATATTCTAACACAATATACAAATTGGAGTGATTTTGAAAAGCATAGTGAAGTTTCACCAGGAAAGGGTGCTAATACTATTAAACAAATGAAACTGTTACCTGTAACATTTCAAGGATATTCCTTTCAGAAACAGTGTGTGCCTTATCCTTTTCATTGCACACTAGTCTGGCCTTCTTTAATACCTTCATGGCATAGAGTTTTCCTTGGTCAATGCCATCAACCTTCTGAACTAGAAAAACCTGCACACTAAGGCAGAGAAGCTCCACGAACCTTTCCGTAGCCTCCTTTGCCAATGACACGTTGAATTTTGAAGTTTTCAGCATTAACACGATTATTCGGATTGACAGTCTTCTGGCAAATCTCGACAGTTTCTTGAGTTGTTATCTCTCTGAAACCCGAATGATAAGACTTTAAGAGACTCACTCTTTCTTATCAGAACATATCAAATTCTTTGACTATCATAAAAAGTAAGAATTGAAAATATAACCAACCAATTGATCTAAAGACTTGGTATTATTTTTCTCCGGAGACGATAGATTGATTCTCTCCACTTCATCGTCCCTACACTCATCATCATTTTCAAGTTCAGCAGATAAAAAGTCAATCTCTGCCATCCACTACAACAGTGAAACCAAAGAGATACTCAGCGACACATCTTCAAACACGCGCTATTTTTGGAATTAGACGGTAGTAGCGTATTTATTTATTTATGGCACGACAGCCAGACATCAATTATTTGGTCATTTCTAATAAGCGATTCATTTTTATTGACGAAATCGGACAACTCATCTTTTCATTCTGCTTCTCTTTTGTTGGCTGGTATTCTTCATCATTTCAACGCTCCAAATTTGCTTGGAAGAATTTATTTACTGTTTGCTCCTTAGATTATGTATTTGGGTAGTTAGGGTGCGCTTTTGGTAACTTAGATGACTAATTCTTGTTATTTCCTTTCTACAGACTGGAGGACGGAACAATTTTTTAATATTATGAGTGAGAAGAAATACTAAAGAAATTCCCTAAGTATCTGAAACCTTACAGTATTCATTGATCTTACTCTTGAATGATTCAGCTGAGAGTACCACCACCAGTACTGTCGTGAAAGAGCCGTATGAATTACTGGCATGAACCTCAAAAATGTCCTCATGGACTTTTTGGCGAGTTGTTTCGTGTTCTGAGTGAGCTCTTTTGTATCCGTTTAAATGCAACTTATTGCTGGAATAAATAAGTGGTCTGTTAAAGTGTAGAGAACTATGAGAAGCATGTTACATCGAGACCGTTCACCTCGTAATCGTCCTTCACTGCACTGGCTGTAGGTTAGGGGCCTCCAGGACAGACAAGTGTAATTTATTTTTCTCAGTCAGAGTACCGTTTAAGTCGTTTGTCTGTGAACACTTTCCAAGACAGTAATATGCTCTATGAGGTAAGGTTGAACGATGAAAGAGTTTTTCCAGACTTGGTCTTGATTAAATAAAAAACATACTTTGAAAAACTTCGAAATCCAACCACCGAATGTTCTGGAAAGAAACCCTAAGAGAGGAAGTATGCTTTGTTGGCTGCTGATTTTAAAAAGAAGAAATACTTGGAGCATCAGAAAGGGTGGTGCCTATGCACTTTTCAGTCGTAGAAAGAATAGTACTAAAACCCTTTAGTAAATGCGTGGTGGGTAGAGTATCACACTTGTGATTATCGTTATTCTGGATTTATTTTTGCTGAGTGAGAGGAAGTTTTTTTAGTACATTCCTGTACCCTATGTAAGTTTCTTGAACAGTCAAAATGTCAGGTGGGCAAACTAGCTCCCTGTATGTCTTAAACCCTTTTGCTTAAGGGGAACGTGTGAGTCTAGGGAGTTGAACAAGTCGAAAATGGACAATAAGAACAGGATTGGTTCAAGAACTGAGTCTTTAGCACTCCATTTGTCATGAAAAGCCAATCTATTAGAGTTGTACAAAGTCAGGAGTGCAACTTACCGTTTAAATAATCGTAGGGTTACGTCACTAGCTGTCCGCGTATACATATAAAGTTCGCTTCCTGTGAAAGGATACGTTGGTTAGACGTTTTAAATGGTAAGGTTTTGTTCCAGTGAGTTGGTTCAGCTATTCTAAGCAGCTAACACATTTGTGTTACAGAATCTACCAGGTAGGAGGACATCTTGAGATTCAGAAGAAACGTCTTTGGTAAGTGTTTAGTTTCAAACAGACCCAGGGAAATCGGTCGTTAATCAGATGCTTCATGCTTATTGTCCTCTTCATGTGCAGATATAATAATCCTCGTTTTTCAGTCGCAGTGTAGTTTACACTTTACTAATGAACACTTAAAGAGGAGGCCAAAAAAGGGATCGAAATAGGTCTCAACATTCCTTAGGGTTTATATCTTGATTACTCTCAGAAACAGCAGATTTGTATGGATTCAAGAATTTCAGAATCTCTTTGATTTCGAGAGGTCCAAACTTAAGCAAGCCCAGGTTAACAATGAAAGAGATAAAGCGGAAGCATTTGAACAAAGGTATTGCAAGCTTAAAACAATTGAATAGGAGTGATTTTAACACCAACTTGTCAACCTCATTGTAGGAGCTTTGTATTTCCACAGGATTGCCATTCGGAGTAGTTAACCTTGCGTTTACCTTCTTTTTTACAAAGTTGTGTGGAGACGTATTGTTACTTTTCATGGACTTTTAGACGAGATTGATACGTTAATTCTAATACATCTTGTTTTTTCGGTAAAAGTATGCGGTTATGCCTTATAGTATGACCGGTCATTTGTGTCATTGGAACGACACTAATCATTTCCGGCAGTGCGCTTGTTCCTGATTAGCATGTGAGTTTTATATTCAAGCAAAAAGAACGTTAGAAGGAATTTGGTGTATGAACGACATTATTTACCTTGATTTCTCTAAAGCTTTTGATAGGGTTAACCACACATGTCTTATTAACAAGCTCAAACAATTGGGAATCAAACCACCTTTAATTGACTGGCTCAGTTCATATCTCACAAATCGACATTTTAAGGTCAGGGTAAACTTCAATTTCTCACGCGCTATGGAATGTTTTAGTGGGGTCCCTCAGGGCTCAGTACTAGGGCCTCTCCTCTTCCTGATTTATATAAATGATCTTCCTCAACAGGTAACGTCAGACATACTGCTCTTTGCCGATGACGTGAAACTTTGGAGAGAGATACGCAACCAAGAGGACATACAGGCACTTCAGGAGGATCTGACTCGACTTCAAAGTTGGGCAGATGACAATGGACTTACATTTAACACTTCAAAGTGTAAAGTAGTCCATCTGCGACACGTTGCAGATTACAGTTACAACTTAGGAAACTCCTCTCCAGTAGAATCCTGAGTCGAAAAAGATTTAGGAGTTCTGGTGCCCTACGACTTAAAGTCTTACGCCAACTGTGACAAAAATGCCTTTAGAGCAAACCTTGCACTGGTAACATTGAAGCGCATTTTTGGTCAGTTTGACGGGAGAACTTGTAGAATTATGGTCTACTATGATACTAGCACCGCTCTAATAATAGACCTAATCCTAAAATTGTAGATTTGTCATGAGTAAATGCCTAATTTATAAGATCTTACGTGGAAGTTGCATCATCGTCTACACCGATTCATTGCATTGTAACAATTACCAATACGTGATAAAGAACGAGCTTAGGCTAGAGATAGAATATATTTAATATGAATAGAAGACACAAGATAACATTCAGATGGGACCACGCCTGCAAGGCCGAGCCATGCCATCCGATCAACTCAGATTAATCAATTTATTATCCCCGCCTTCTCCATTGTTGGGTATTCCTCCGCGTTAAATATTGAATATCTATTTTCCGAGTAGTCTCGTGTTCAGCTTTGAGGATTGTGTGGTTATGATCCGATGCCACTACACTACTCTCCCACCAGAATCAACGTGATGTTGGTTCGATACCAAATTGGATGGGATTGTCGCGCGCCGGAGGTTGTAAAGAATGATAAGAATCCACCGGGTATTGGTAAGCTGGAAGATAAATCAAAAAGGAGGCAGAATCTGGTCGGGAAATACATATAACATCTTTAAAACGTCTGGTTTAATGCTTAACACGCTTAAAATGAAAATTAAGGTAAAGATTATTTGAGCTAAACAAAGTGGGATTATAATAGCAAAATGATTCAGTATAAGTATATTTTAATAAAATGCCGTAAGGTACGTAGTGATATCCGTAGGTTAATAACATTTCCTGTTTAGGAATATTAAAAACAGCCAATATTAGAGAAATGTTAAAATTGGTATTATATTTTGTCTAAATTATGAAATCAAATAACGTATGTGCCGGTAAGTTGTCCATGCGTTGATTTCCAATTGCATCTGTACCAGTAGACTAACTGAAAGAACAAAAGTATAAGCGCGGAGAAGAATTCCAACTAGTGTTCCAGTTAGTTTGATACGGTTTATTTAGATATGGGGAGATTTTTACTTGACCGTGATAGAATCTAGTAATACAACTAATGCATATGAATTGTTATCAAAAATTTTTTTAAATATGTGAAAAGTAATAATTATGTGAATTTCGGACAGATATACGAAAGCAAATCGTAAAACATGAGTGTATTCGTAAGAGACATGCTCAAGACTCAATGTTCTGACTTATCATAGACTATTTATTTATATCTACACCTAACAGCTGATGGTGCATACAAGTTATTTGCAAGTATGCAGTTTAACATGAGGCGGAATACGATTTGATTGAGATATAGTGAATATAAGTTATTAAAATCAGCTAAGCCTATGTGCCACATTTCTAGGTGATGTGCTGCTGCACTATGTATTCGGCTAAATAAGTTTTTACAAGATGATTAACAGTGAGTGATGCTCATGTGATTATCAGCGAGAACATAAGTTGTAACCAAGGGGAGTACACTCCCAACTCATGTCTATGATAATGGCCTGATCCTTAGTCAGTGTCGAGGTAAATTCGACATTGATGTTTTCAGTTTGCAGGAGATTTGCTCGACTGCTTATACTGATTATTTGCATGCATGATTGTGTCGCTAAACCTCCAATTAGACTGACAAGGTTTTGAGATATTTACTGAATGAGCAACTGATAAACATACTGTAATCATCCTTAGTGAATGAAAAGCAAAACAACACTACTTTCCACATAATCTTCAATAGTTTCATTCGTCTCCATTTAGAGTACGGGAACATAGTATTCCCTCCTACACTCCAAAAGGATAAGGACACTCTGGAGCGTATCCAACGGCGAGCCACGAAATCAGTTCGGGGACTCAAATTTAAACCTTACGATGAGCGCCTCCAATCACTCGACCTTTACCCATTGGAGTATAGGCGTCTTAGAGGTGACCTACTAATGACTTACAGTATCCTTAACACAACTGGACACCCTCTTAAACACCTACTTAAGCTTAGTCCCAACACTAACCTAAGGGGTAACACCCAGAAACTGGAGATACAACATAGTAGAACGGACTGCAGACACAATTTCTACTCCTTAAGAGTTGTCAAATGCTGGAATTCGCTGCCAGCTGAGCTAGTCCAAGCAACTTCCCAGGAGTCCTTTAATAGGCGACTTGATCTATTCTTAAGGACTAAGGATAGTATCCTACTATGATTTACCAATTCATTATCTTTCTCTTTTATCGTTAATATACCTAGGTTCTTGCCTGGAGGTATCGGTGATCCCCTGC